GAGTCCTATGATTTACAGGATGAACATTTATAATTGTGGTCTGAAGAAAATTCTATTTGCCTTTAAATATCTTTTACCAATCATTTCCATCATCTGTAGATAATTAGCCTTTTACCAAGGCTCTGAGATGCCCATACATAATCAGAACAGGACTGAAAGTGACTGTGTTGTGGCCGCATTCTCCCACCAGCGCAGAAGTCAGTACAGCATAACAGTTCAGTACCAAAGCTTAGGAATAAAATCTGATTCAAACTCTAGATCTTCTCCTTGCTACATGTAGGTTCTTGCTTTCTAAGTCTCAGTTTCTTGATGTATGAAACTGCTAATGATTTCATGTACTTCTTTGCACAGTATCTGGTGCATAGTAAGTATTCAACAGAGAAATTATGGCTATCAAGTAAAGGTTTATTTTACACATTGATCAAGTAGCATGGCTAAGTGGAAGGGTGCACAGACAATGGGGTAATTTCAAAAGTTAACCAGAGCAGGACAGAACTTTCCAAAGACAGCAAAACTGGGGGTGAAACAGTCAAGAGACACTATCTACTAGGTGATACTTAGAACGGATAAACAGGAACCTGTGAAAGCCTCCTCACAGGTAGGTAGCCCTTGGCAGAAAAAAGAGGGCACCACAGAATGCTATGACAAATGTGAAATATTGTGCTAGAAGTGAGTCATACAAAAGTGAAGATAAGGCACAGAATGCTCCTTTAAATGGAGTTACCAAATAAGGAAAGCCAGGTGCACTAGTTTCTCTTGCTTGCTATGTTAAAATGTAACCACATTTATATTTTAATATTCACTATTTCAGGCAACTCTATATTTCAAAATAAGGAAAATATTACTTAATAAAATCATTATTGCCAATAGCATGTGTCAGTGTGCCAAATAAGTAAACTAGGGAAAACCTATGTTCATTTTCCTCCATTTTTTTAAGACTTCTAGGTAGTATTTGTGTTGCAACACAATTTATAACTCAGTTTATTATTCTTGTTACAGAACATGCAATCTTTCTCTCAATTTAAGGAATACATACTGACTACATGCATAACACCAATCTACGCTCTGTAAAAGGAAAAAAAATGATGACTGGAAGCGTCTGAAGAAATTACAATCTTGGAAGAAAATTCAGGAACATATACTTCTAATAATTTACAAAATAGAAGTACCTTTAGAGATGTACAAAATTCTAAGGAGATTCAAGGACACAAGAAGACTAGGAATGAAACAGTCAGGAGAGAGACTACCTATGACATGACAGTTAGGGGGGATTGATAAGGATCCATGAAAGCCTTCTGACAGGTAGACCAGCATTTGCCAGGAAAAGGAGAAGAGGACACTAGGAACATCAAGTAGCCTAACTGCGGGTGCAGCAAAAGACGCAGACTAGTGAGAGCTAGGGTGGGAAGGCTGGCAGTACACTGGGCAGAGCACGTGAGTGTGAGAAATCTGTACCTAAAAACCATGCCATAAAGCACCTAGTGAAGATTTACAACTGTGAAAGGAACACTCAAAAGCTGCAAAATAGATGTCTTTTGTCATTACTGAATTCTCACACGGAAGTCAATGCCATATTCTGGATCACTCAAGCCTATCCTAAGTAATATGAAGACCCACCCCAAATGGTCCTCGCTCATTAAAAGGAACATAAAGGATGAATAATTTCATGTAAGGCAGGAAGATCTGGGTTAGGGCCACACTGTAGGGTACGAATGTATCATTTGGATAACAACAGAAATGCTCAGGTCCCATTGCCTCATTCGGTCCGAGCAACAACTGTGCTGCACCTGGATTTCATATAGGCATCCCCAATGACTCACTTCAGAGACCGTCCCTAGACCTTGTCTTGAAAATACTGCCCCACAGCAAGGTTCCCAGCACGGCACCGATACAGTGGGCCGCATGAACAGGTCCCATCACTGAAGACAGTAATACACATCCAGGTACCCTGGGCCCCGGCATGCTTGCACTGAGACCTAGGCAGGCAGAGCACCCCCATGGCTGCACCACCAAAAGCCCCCAAACTCCAATTTCTGTACCATCCCAGATACGGTCATTTCTTGAATTATAATCATGCAGAAAAAAACAGCCAAGTCTTCCCTCCATAGTAGAATTCTGGGCCCAAGAAATTCCTGAGAAAATGACTCCAATTTCTGAAAGATAAAAGAATTACTGGCAGAAATTATTACAACTGCAGACAGATGGAAAATAAAAGGATCAGTTTGTTGGCAGAAGTCAAACCATAGGAAATATCAATGGGTTTTTTCAGTCTAAGGATTGAAGATAATTTAGAGCCAATTATAATCAGAATGAATATTCAATTTAAAAATGCCACTCACTAGCATTTATATATTTGCTTGTAATAACTTTTAGCAGCTATTCCTAATTTGAGGGTAAACTTCTTAAGAGACACCATTTCTTGTACTTCTTTGTATCCCAGAAGGTACACAATAAATCTGGCATTAGAATTTTGTTCTAAGTTAAGTATCTACATAAAAATAGCTAAAATAAAAGTTCGCTAGGGAAAACTGAGTAAAGCTGAAGAATCTATACTTCCCCAGAAAAGGACAACTTTTCTCACATACCCACACAGCTTCCTCCCTCACACCTTTCAGGACTATACTTGTTGTGCGTGGAAGACTGTTGCCTGGAGAATTCCAAGAGTATACAGTGTTTCTATGTCAGAGCAGACTGGCTTTAGAGCACATTTTACAAATGTTTAGCACTGTAGAGTGGTGAAGGAAGAAGTTTTCCAAAATAAAATTGATCTGTCATTGATTGCCTTTACTATGGTATCATATGGAAAGTTAAAATAATTTCAATAAAGCTTTACAAGAAAAAAAAGTCACTGAAGCTTTCCTAAGCCGCTCTATGTAAAACTACCTCACCTCCACCATTCACTTTCAACATTTCATCCCCTTCCCTGTTTCAGTTTTCATCATTACACTTAGGATCTAATACACTATATATTCTACTAACTTTTAATATTTGTCAGACTTCCACTAAAATTTAAGTTCCATGGACAGACAGATTTCTTCTATTTTGTTCACTGCTGTTCCCACTTGTCTGGAACAGTATTTGGTACTTAATAGATGCCCAATTGTCATCTGGTAAATGAATAAATGAATGACTCAATCAATCAAAACCAAGAATAGGAAAGTGGAAAATCCCTTATTTTAGACAATGAAATTTTTCCTTATCCCTTAGGAAATAATTAAAAGATTTTATATTAGGACACAAAGTGTTCTCAGTTCATTCACTGTAAATGCTGTGTAAAACTCCTTTCGGTTGTCTGTAATACTTGGTCAGCTGGACTTCCTCCTTTTCACTATCAATTGTTTTCCTACAGTGAATATGCACCAGATACTTCTGAATTCCACCAGCAATTGAATAACCAGAACTGCCGGAACAAGGATGTGTTGCAATATTACAATCTGTGTTAGCAGGCAGTCACCAAATTAAACTATTTAGCTCTACATTTTCCTTCCCTAGGAGAAGGTAAACCGCCCCTCCTTTAGAGGACTCACCTGGATAAAGTGATCGACTTTTAACAACTTTTAAGTCAATTCACCACATAGCTTAAAGGCTTTAACTAATTGCCATGTCTGCTTCACTTATTTTGTTTCCCAGCAATGTATCTATCTGTTGCACGATTTCTATTCCTCTGGGGGAGTTCTCTGGCAAGTTCCATGAAACCTCTGGGGGAGTAAATTAAACTTTACTCCACAGGGCAAATCATTATTTGATGACAGGCTACCTAGACATTATATTACCAGTACTTTTTGGCTGCAAGAAAGGTTGTAAGTCAATCAAAGATTACTCTGATACTCTGTGAGAGCTAGCCAGACCTCAACCCACCTTTTCTGGAACAAACTCACACTTAAACCACCTGTCTGTTGAAGATTAAAGTTAAAGATCAAGTTATAGTGTCTGTGGAGCATATCAGTAATTTAAGTTATTGAACATAGAATAAAAGTTTCAGTCATTCATACCAATACTCCTAAATCACTTTTCACCACATCGTTCAGGAAGTTCCACCGCTTTCAGGATATGACTGAAACCCACACTATTATGATATGACTATTAGAGCATTCCCGAGCCTCACCTCCTACTCACTCTTTCATGTCTTGTTTAAACTCCATCTCTCCACAGGAACTTCTCACGCTTCCCCATTCAGAATCTCTCTCCCCTCTTCTCATAGTAGTTTCTTACTCCCAACATTTGTTATTGGCCACATGTCATTTACATGACTGTGTCTACTCCCTGCAAGCCTGAGAGTCCACGGCATTAAACGTAAGATTTCAAGGATAATAATGCTTATTAGCAGAATCATTTAGGTTTGTAGCCACCTGGTCTAAGTATTTACAAAAATTCCCTACAGTGAAAATTCCCTCAATCAAAGCTATTAAGAGGACAATTACTGTCTCAAGTACAATAGTGGCCACTGAAGATCGTGAACCCATCCCAGACCTCCCAAGACAGGTGTCCGCTTTCTTTTCTCCCTACCCAGTCTCTCACATACTTTTCATAAGCTCAGTTCAAATGCCACCTGGTTCCAACCACTCAGCTCAAGCATAAATCCTCCACAGCCTGTGACTTACGATCAGTGTCTTGAATCTTTCTGAAGAAAAACGTAGTGTAATAAAAGGGCAAATATGTAGAAAAGCACACACTGGCTAAAATTTCAATCTCTCTATTACTAACTTTTTGACTTTGGGCAAATCAGTGTTGATCAAGCTTCCTCACCTTGAAACAAAGGTATACAGATACCATTTACCTTACTAGGGAATTTTGAAAAGTAAGAAATATCCTTAAAACGTACAGACACCAATTGACGTGCCCAATAAAGCTTACCTTCCTTCCTCGAAAGCATTAACACTGTAATTTGCACTTAAAGGATCGAAACCGGGAGGACTGCGGTGAGCCCCGCGTACACCGGCCGGATGCGAGGTCCCCGCGGTCGGAGACGCCCCGGTTCCCCTCCCCGCACCAGGCCTCACCTTGGTGGTCGTAGACACTAATGTACGAGATGCCCACGGCCATGCACCACACCACGAGGCTTGCGATGTCCGAAAAGCTGGTCTCCTGCTCTTCCTCGGTGATCACCAGGCCCATGTGCACAGGGAGCTTCTTCAGGGAACGGCCGTCCGCCCGCCAGCGCAGCCGGGGGTGGGTTGCGCCCAGGCCCGGCCCCCCTCGCGGGTGCCGGTGCTGACGGCGGTTCCTGCCTACTGCCGGGGGCTTGCGAAGAGTGAAGACGAGCGGCGCTAGGACCGCGGCGGAGGCGGCGCGGCAGCAGCGCCGCCAGATCCAGTTCCAGGTGCCGAACCGAACGCGGAGCCAGTAGGTGAGCGTGCGGTGCAGGCAGAGCAAAGCGTGCAGCACCCGCCACACCAGCTCGTACAGCCCCGTCATACTCTCGTGGCGCCAGGCTGTCCTACCCTCCCTCCCACACCTGCGGCGCGATGGCTTTTTATCTACCCCTGCGGCCGCCGCGAGCCATCGCTCCCAGTTCTCCTGCCCCACGCCTGAACCCGTTTCTACTGTCTACACCTCACCTCGCCCACACCGCCATCTTCCTCCTGCCTCGGGAGCCCCACCCCCGCTAGTACATAGACAGTTCTGATTGGTCGGCGTAGAACTCTGACGTGGCTTCTGCGTTCGAAGATGTGGCCTAACCTGGCGCGGCGAGGGAAAAAGAGAGCTTGAGAACTAGGTGTGTCAACGACCCAATGCGCCCCCTTGTGCTTTGGAGGTTTAGAAGCTCACGCCACTGACACGTAGGTGCAGGATCCAGAAAGATGCAGGTCGTCATGGTGGGAATGGGTGACAGCAACGACGCAACGTCCCTTGGGTCCTGGACGTTTATACTGTCTGTTTCCTCTCATGGTCCCGCCAGAAACGGTTTCCAAGCAATAAGATAAAAGTCGTCTAGGGTATTGGGAATTACAAATGCCAGAAAGAATATAGGGCTAGAAAGTATCCCTCAGCACCGGGGTGATGCTGGGGTCAACCAGGGTCCCTTAATGGGAGTGCTGCAGAGCGGGAGTGTGGCCCACCCCCACCCCCGTGCTAAGGTAGCTGTGAGATGGAACCTGTGTTCCTGGAACCATGCAAAGGGGAGGATGAGGCATAGAATGCTCCTTGCATAAGTTACCAAGTAAGGGAAGCCAGGTACACGAGTTTGCAAGGTTCAGTATATCAAATCATAATGACATTTATATTTGGACTTGCAGCATTTCTGATAACACTGTATTTCCACATAACCAGAGCAATACTTAATGTGATCCTGGTTCTCAATAGCGTATGTGTCAGTGTTCCAAATAAGCATACAGGGGAAATTCTTGTTTGTTTAACTTCATTAATTTTAGGCTTCTAGTTATTCAAGTTGAGAAACAAATTACAACTCAGTTCATTATTCTTATCTACAGAAAATTCAGACCTTTCAATTCAAGGAATACATAATTATCACTTACATGTGTGACACCTTAGCTATACTCTGTAGAAGAAGCAAAAGTGAGAAGGATTGGTAGCATCCGAGAAAATTACAATCTTGGAAGAAAATTCAGGAACATATACTTCTGACTAATACTTTACAAAACAGTAGTACCTTTAGAGATGTACAAAGTTCTAAGGAGATTCAAGGACACAAGAAGACTAGGAATGAAACAGTCAGGAGAGAGACTACCTATGACATGACAGTTAGGGGGGATTGATAAGGATCGATGAAAGCCTTCTGACAGGTAGACCAGCATTTGCCAGGAAAAGGAGAAGAGGACACTAGGAACATCAAGTAGCCTAACTGCGGGTGCAGCAAAAGACGCAGACTAGTGAGAGCTGGGGTGGGAAGGCTGGCAGTACACTGGGCAGAGCACGTGAGTGTGAGAAATCTGTACCTAAAAACCATGCCATAAAGCACCTAGTGAAGATTTACAACTGTGAAAGGAACACTCAAAAGCTGCAAAATAGATGTCTTTTGTCATTACTGAATTCTCACACGGAAGTCAATGCCATATTCTGGATCACTCAAGCCTATCCTAAGTAATATGAAGACCCACCCACCCCAAATGGTCCTCGCTCATTAAAAGGAACATAAAGGATGAATAATTTCATGTAAGGCAGGAAGATCTGGGTTAGGGCCACACTGTAGGGTACGAATGTATCGTTTGGATAACAACAGAAATGCTCAGGTCCCATTGCCTCATTCGGTCTGAGCAACAACTGTGCTGCACCTGGATTTCATATAGGCATCCCCAATGACTCACTTCAGAGACCGTCCCTAGACCTTGTCTTGAAAATACTGCCCCACAGCAAGGTTCCCAGCACGGCACCGATACAGTGGGCCGCGTGAACAGGTCCCATCACTGAAGACAGTAATACACATCCAGGTACCCTGGGCCCCGGCATGCTTGCACTGAGACCTAGGCAGGCAGAGCACCCCCATGGCTGCACCACCAAAAGCCCCCAAACTCCAATTTCTGTACCATCCCAGATACGGTCATTTCTTGAATTATAATCATGCGGAAAAAAACAGCCAAGTCTTCCCTCCATAGTAGAATTCTGGGCCCAAGAAATTCCTGAGAAAACGACTCCAATTTCTGAAAGATAAAAGAATTACTGGCAGAAATTATTGTAATCAAGTAATTCTGCAGGCAGATGACAATACAATAATCAGTTTGCTGGCAGAGCAAGAACTCTTTCAGGGCTACACTCAAAAGTCACTGAGTATAGATAGGGGGGCTGTTTTTAGCCACTCCATTTAAAACTCTTCCCCTTTGTCCACCATTTACTTTTAACATTTTATCTCACTTTCCTGCTTTATTTTTGCTTATTGTGATTATGATTTAATATACCATGTATTTAATTATTTATTATATTTGTCAGAATGCCACAAAATGTGAGCTTCATGGTCACAGGGAATTTTGTCTCCTTTGTTCATCGTTGCACCCTCTGGCATGGAACAGTACCTGTACTGCGTAGACATCCAGTTTTCACTCAATAAATGGATGAATGAATGAATCAATCAATTGATCAATAAAAACTAACATAAAATAGGTAAACCAAGTCTCTTATTTCAAGCAGTTAAATAATCTCTTATCCCTTAAAAAATAATTGAAACTTCTTTTACAATAGAGCATAAAGTACTCCAATTCACTGAAAATGCTTTTTAAAACTTCTTTCCATTGTCAGTCAACACTTGACCAGCTTGGCTTCTTTCTTTTCATCACCGCTCTTTTTTTTTTTTTTTAATCAATTGTGTATTTTTTAAACCTATGAGTTCAGAGGCCACATTTCGTCACCATACGTGCTCCTACCCTGTGTCCCAGGGAAGTCAGAGCCCCGGGCCAAGGTGGCCCAGAGCGTAGCGGAGGGGGAAAGACACAGCCTGACTCTAAAACCTGCTTGCTTAATTTTCTCTCACTGGAGTGCAATATAAGATGTCTAAGAGCAGGGCAGCTCTGTCTTTTTTTAATGTTATTTTTTAATTACAGCTTACAGTCAATATTATTTTGTATTAGTTTCAGGCATACAGCATAGTGGTTAGACAAACCAATCTTTTTTTTTTTCTTTCTTTTTTCTTTTATTTTTTACAGAATAGGACAAAGGCTATATCTGAATCACAACAATTCAATAACAGGAACTATCAGGACAAGGAAGTGTGAGGAATTAAACTGTTTAGCTACACATTTTTCTTCCTTCACTGGAATGTAAAGGACCTTGCTTTAAAAGAATCACCCCCAGCCCTGGCCAAGTGGCTCAGTTGGTTGGAGTCGTCCTGTCCACCAAAAAGTCTGTGGATCTGATTCCTTGTCAGGCACATAGCTAGGTTGTGGGTTTGATTCCTGGTTGGGGTGTGTGCTGGAGGCAAATGATCAATGTTTCTCATTTAAGTTACTGAACAGAGAATAAAACGTTAGTTTTTGTTCTGTATACAAATATATCTAAATCATTCTTTTCACCACATCTTTATCTTTAAGGAAGTTCCACTGCTCTCAGTATTTGATTTAAACCCCCACCTTAGAATTATAGCATTCCTCAACCTTACCTCCTACTCATTCTTCCATGTCCTGCCTAAAGCCCATCTCTCCACTTACACCTCACCTCTCTGCATGAACTTCTCACGCTCTCCCATTCAGAATCTCTCTCCTCCCTTCTCAGAGTAGTTTCTGACTCGCAACATTTCTGGTTAATGACCATGTCACCTACACAGGTGTCTACTCCTAGCAAACCTGAGGGTCCATGGAATTAAATGTAATGGTGTTGTGTTTTTAATTTCAATTTTCACTCGATCATTGCTGGGGTGTGTCTTTATGATTAAGTCTCAGTTTTTTAGCGAGCCTTGCCTCTGAACTGTAAACTTAACAAGTGCTTTTTATTTACTCATTCACCCCCTTACAGAGGACAGGATTATAGCATGGGCTGGAGTTGGGTATTTTCCTTGCCCTCAGTCGGCTGGGCTCTGATAAAACCACAGTAGTTTAGGACCCGGTAAAATAATTCCTTTTGATCGCAGGCCTTGTTAAGAAAAACAGAATACTCTGGCATATTTCATAATGGTTCCTTTCCTTCTCCTGTTGCCAGAAGCATGAGGGGTTTTTCTGCAATATTCACTTGAGAGCCTCGTTTATTTGGTTCGTGGAGACAAAACTCACAAAAATGGGTGAGCCCTCCTGTGCCTGGGACCCCCAGATTTTTAAATTCTCAGACCTGTCCACTCTGAGCCTCCAGCAGTTCGTGAATTACATTGCAGCTCAGGGTTTCCTTCTGCTGCAGTGGTTCCCATGGAGGTTTCTGCCCCAGTAAGTTGCAATTCTCTGTATTCTACATCCTATCTGTCTCTGCCATTTAGGGGCAGAAGTTTGCCTGTTTGACTTGTCTAATGGATGCAAGAAGAGTTGTTATTTTTTTAGTTTGTCCAGCATTTTACATGTTGTTATGACGGACTGACAACTTCCAAGCTCCCTCCACCACAGCAGTTTTATACTGAGGAAACCAGAATTTTTGGCTACAACTTCAAAACCAGAGCATTATTTGATGAAGAGACAAGGGATTCCTTCAGAGTAAGGAGATTTTTCTAAGCATCAGCAATGAAGACATCTCTCCCAGCTAAAACCAGGACATCCACGAACCTCTTCCTTCCAATGAAGCTCACTTCATTGTTGGCAATTATTCAAATTCTGGGCTTCCAAACCAAGATGAGATTCTCACCCCCTTCTTCAAGGCTGAGGGAGAGACTAGTCTTTCATCTAAGAACAATCAGGCCCTTACGAAGTGCAACTTAAAGGCTTCAGACCAGGATTTGTGTGACCAAGGGAGCAAGCGATAGCCCGGCTATGACCAGGCAGGCAGTGGCTCAGTTTTGATGCTTGGCAGGTCTAAGCCGGTGTAATTTGAGTTGTTGGGAGGACCCACTGAGGCAAGAGAGCGCCTTCGGTATGGAGACATGCTGTCCACTGCCTAACCCCAGAGGTCGCCACTTACATATGCCATCATTGTGACTGGCACCTTGGAATAGAGCAATGTTTCCATTTGGAGAGGGAGGAGGACTTGC